CCAAGGAAGTTCATAGAGCAAACACTACTACAATTATTAAAACGAATGTTTTCTACAAAACAAAGTATTTTATTAAGCATTCATAAAACTGTATCAGGTTCACTTTGTAAAGTTTTTTATGTTAGTTCAGCTCAGTTTGCATCGCTCGCCGCCTCGCCGCCGCGCTGCCACTATGAACAATGCCACGAGTCTACAACGTAATACAATTGCTCACAAGTTTTGATAGCAATCATTGTTGTTGAGTTTTTATTTGCAAAGTAGAAGGAAAAGTGCTATTAAACAAACTAGCAGCAATTCTAAAGTCTTATAAAAACCACAATCTACATAATATGCAGGGAGCAAGAGATTTTTTAATAGCTACTTTTTACTATTCAGCAAAAAAAACAATATTACATACAGACCCTCCAATTATATTAATATGTATTAATTTTGTCACAGAAGGATTTAATATTATTCGTAAATTCTCATAAAACTCACACTCAATATCACTGTTTGCCATAGAGACGAGAAATGAGAAGATTTGTGAATTCCACGTGTTACGAGTAAATATCCGCAAAACGATTGCGTACGTAATGGAAAATGAAAAAGTCGACGCTCCCTCTCGTATCTTTGTTTGATATTCAAAATCTACCTATACAATACTGGCTGAATGTATTGTTTAAAATGTACGAAACGTATCATTTTATATAAAAATTCAATCTGTCAAAATATGTTCACCATTTTAAATTCTCATGTGACTCGTCGGTACGTTTTTCGACTCGAAACTAAAATCCATCGGAGCGGAATATTTCCACTACAAACAGCAACATAAGTTGCAATACCACTGCGGCTATGTTTCGAACAAATACATTTATTGACTCGATCGAAAACTTTACATATGATATCACTGGCCCCTCCCTATGAATGGATTTAATTAATCTGACAAAAACACTTGATTTTGGGAAAATGTATATAAAAATAGAATTAGTACTCATGTTACTTTATTCCCCTTTTCAAAATTTTTTGTTATAAATATACTTTTTACTTTTCATAACAATGTGAAAAATGAGCTATTAAAAAAACAAAAACTTTTTTCTAAGACTCATTTAGTCCGGAAAAGGGTGTTTAGGAATCCTGGCAGTCGTTTAAATAAAATTTACGACTCATTACACGTTACCATTTAAAGACTTAAATGTTCTTTTATAACTTTTGAAAAAACGTGTCTTAATCTTTCTTTTTCTTCAACAAGTTATTGCAGTAATTTTTTATATGAAATATAGAATTAAAATATATATTTCAAATATACATTAAGTATTTTAAAATGAAACCTTCCAAATTATATAAATATTGGAATCTGCGAGCACAGACGCGGAAGTTTATGCAACAGTGACGCGGCTGGGATGGGTTCATATATAAATCCGTTTCATTCAACCTGTCATCTCACCCTCACGAACTGAACCAGATTGGAATGATTCGAGGCGACATGTCGGGTTGCAGATTACCTTGCCTTTTTCTTTAATTCGTCTTTTGCTACCAATGTTTGGATATCTTTTGCCACCAGCTAGTATCAATGATAAAATATAAGATTTGTGAACATCTTCTTTCACAAGCAATAATTGCTAATATTTTTTTAAGCTATGTCTATATAAAAAATACGTACTTGCTATACAATATTAGGTGTATGTATAAGGTCAATTACGGTCACTTCTAATAACGCCATTACAGTACCTACAGATAAATAACAATAACTAGCAACAAATATAAGTACTTTGTTACAAACTGTAAGCTGCTTGCTTGAAAACGTGCAAGTGGTCAAAGTGGCCATAACCACACGCTAGCGCTGCGATGCGGTCTCGTTAGTGTAGTCGAGATTTAACTCGACGTCTGCACACCGAAGCTGATACAGAAAGAACATTTGCCGAGAACACAAGTAAAACACACAACTCAGATTTTAAAGAATTATTAAAACTATACATTATACAAGCAGACATAGACTTGAGTTATTTGTTAGCGTGAGATATCTATCTTCCTGTTAATCTTCTTTGTAATACTTGATAGCATGTTCATAGCAATGCACATTTGAAACAACAGGAGTAATTTTATACGCTCGCTAAATGAATACAAGTTTAACTACTTGCAAGGAAATGAGAAAAACGCTTTAGAAACTCGAAACAAGGGAAACAGAACAGGTTGGAAGCTGCCCAAGTTGTTTGTTGTCATAAAACTTTAAACGCTGCAGCGAGAAATTTGTCACCCGGCCGGCAAAGTTACCGCGACGCTCAATTTATAGACAAAGCTCTTCAGTGAGCTATATTCGGTAGTTTTTAGTTCAGTTTTTTAAGCTACAAAGTACTGAAAATATCTGCTTTAATAAATAGCTGCGGTCATAAAATGCACCACAGTTTTATAAACTGGCGTGTACTAAAAACACATGTATCTTATTTATTGGTCAATCTGGTCCGAAGGCTCTTCCTACTGCATATTTTTCTGGTGTAAAAAAATCTTTTCTACATAAGCAGAAATCAGTACAATTAATAAAATTCGAGTGTCTGTATGTAGTATCACAAAAAACATGATATATTTGCGTTGTTTCATTGATGAAAATCCATTTTTTTATAATGTTTATCTGCCTGTCCACAAACCCGCCTTTGTCACGGATAATCTCGGGAACAGCTGGAACAATTTTAACTCGAAGCATATGTGTGCAAGAGTAAATTAAGCTATTTTACAAGCTTGTATTTTATTTAACGTGGTATGTTATATTCAAACAAGAACTTCATTTAAAAACAATTTATTATTAAATGATCTTGCTCTATAAAATAAAAACGTAAATAAGATTATATTGGGAACAGGTTTTCGGAGCAGCCAACCGAGCGAAAATTAATCTGTATGCAAATGTTATACGCGTCACATCGATTATTCCGCCTACGAGGAAATGGGTATGGGAAAAAAGTCTTTCTTTTTTCCCATACCATAATGTTACCCGATTAAGCAAGGTTAGGCCAGACAGACTGACAGGTAGTAATAAGGAGGTGGGAATGTAAGAACTTTGTCTCGAGCAACAGGCATCCTGATCAATGAGTCACGATTGCCTCTTTCCCTTTTCTCTATCTGCGCCAAACTTGTTGCGCGCGTCAAATAGCACCTTTCCATTATATACATTAATCTAATTAAGATATTGCTGGATGATTGTTTCGAAGTCTAAATAGTGTTCAACTTATTTTTAGCAGTATTCGCATTTTCATATTTAATCACCATTTTTTCGGTTTTAAACCCATGGTATTTAGTCGTGATAAAACTGTTTAATACAGTTACCAAAAAATTATAGTCTGTATTTGCCTTAATTCCGTGACATACCGATCCGAAAAATTCACAACGCAATATTTAAGAAAATTGTATAATTTGGTGTATACCAAGCCATACTACAGAGAAGCTAAGAAACTAATTATTGTAATAGGAACAACAATGTCATAAAAAAAATCGTGTAATGGCACATAGCATTGACATTTGACATTGTTGACTGTCATCGACCTGTCAAAGGATATTGTATTTGTATATGTGTTGTAATTTTTCATTATTATTTGAAGCTGAAAAATATTTATAGCCACGGAAAAAAATGTTAAGCCAATTAACTTAGAATATATCTAAAATACTGGACTCCATTTATAAATGATATTGTTTCGTTTCAAGTATTGACGTTTGATGTAGATGCTAAGTGTTGCAATATCAATGAAGATTGTGGCGCACTCTCGACAGGGATTTATAGTGTTGGTAAGGTTTTAATTATATTTAAAAAAATAACGAGATAATTAATTGAATTCAATAGTGTTAATTTTAATTCCATTTTGAAGAACTCATAACTTTTTTATGAAAATGGCATTTTTCAACCTTCTATTGATTATTTTGACACATTTATCAATTATACGAGACGTCGTACAATGAATGCAATGCAGTATCCGAACGTCAAGTAAAATGTGGTGAAAAAATGTGAGAGAATGTCAATTTCATGTTATAAGCTATTTTTGTATATTCTGTAGGTTCGTCAAACCTATCTGAGAAATAAATTATCATCAAACATGTTAGATAAGGCGAATAACTGAATTTGTATAGAAGTGCGTAAGTTTTGACCTTGTAAGTTTTAGCTCTGTAGATGGTTGTTTTAGTGCATAACGTTTTGTTTTGTAGCAATCATGAAAAGGGCAATGCAGAAATGTTGGCGTGATTCTGCCACCTTAATAGTTGCTGCCAAAAGAAACCAAAACATTAAACATGTGAATAGAGAAACAGGTAATTGTAACTACGACATCTTGTTACAGACTCGAACGCATAACGCGTCATTCCCGAATAGTGTGGTGTTCCCGGGCGGCGTTTGTGAGGCCGCCGACGGAGACGAGGAGTGGTACAAACATCTCCGTACGTTTGGCTACACGGAGAGCGATTTTAAAAGTTTTCATCGTATTGGCAGTCCATTGACGCCTTTATTTGAAAATAATCCAATTCAAAGGTATGTAAAATCTCTTTTTAATAATTCACTTATGCATTTACACCGTAGTGTTCAAGCAATTGTTAGACGTAATTATATTGTGCATGTTTATTGAACAGAATGTTATTGACTCAATCTATATCAGTTTGTTTGCTTTTATATTTGTATTTTACTGTTTAATATGTCACTTCATCTGTCAGTGACGTTTCTCATACAATAAGTAATCCAATTGGTTATGTTTGAACAAGTGTTTAGTTAGATTTAACTTTGAATACAAGTGATGAATATTTTTTTTACAATTTAGGGGTTCTCTTAGGTTAATACCAGCTTAACACTATATTTACAACATTATATAATCTTCAGTTTTTTATTATAAAAATAAATAAGTAATCCTAAAGTCTGTACTTCAAAGATGTGAAAATTTGGAAAAGAAATCTTTATACATATATTTTTATTGATATCACCAAAATTTATTATAATAATTTGACAAAGTTTATATTGAAATGTATAAACAATAATTTGTATGGTCAGTGATAATGTTAAGTATTTCTGTAACAGGCATGTTGCCCTGAGAATAACTGCTATAAGGGAGACTTTTGAAGAGCTAGGACTCCTTATATGCAGTCAGAGTCATAAATCTGAAAGGGAAAGTGATTGGGCGTCACTTCTAACTGATGATGATCTAAAACATTGGAGGGACAGGGTGAGAAAATAATTATTATTCATTGTAAAAAATTGTAACTTACATGGCCTGATTACTGATACTTCTGTATTTGAATGGTTGGTAACCCTGATATTTTTGTGACTGATTTTAACAGTTTCTCATAAAATTATTATATTCTAGTTATCTCATAGATAGATGCTAATGCCACATCTAATTTTTTCATTTTATGTTGCATGTATAATAGTTGAACATGTGTAGTTAATTAAGTAGAACAGTAGAAATTAAATAAAGCTTTTCGAGGACTATGTTAAGGCAATCTGTCTAAAAGTTTTCAAGAAAAAAATTATAAATTCTTAGCTTATAATTTATGAATAATATGTAATTAAATGAATATGTTTTAGGTAAGCAAAAACCCAGCAGATCTATTAACTCTTTGTAAGGAATACAAGTGTTATCCAGATATTTGGGCTTTGCAATATTGGAGTAATTGGCTTACACCTGTTAATCAACCAAAAAGATTTGATACAGCTTTCTTTGTGACCGCTTTAGAAAATAAACCTTCAATAAACAGTAATTCTGAAGTAGTTAATGTTAAGGTGTGTATGTATATTTGAAATAATTAATGCATGATTTTATTTAGCATCACAAATTCACTTTTTCATTTTTGTATAACAAAACTCACTATACCCCATAACTCCATCAGCGCGGGATTCAAATATAGATAATAGTGGATTCACAGACTTACTGAATGTGTATATAAAATTTCCTTAAAATTGGTCAAGCCGAGATGCTGGTCATTGTAACTTCAATTTCAATTTATATGAGTGATTGAGTGGTATGGATGGACAACCTCAATAAGAGGATTGGGATTAGATGTAAATCAACCTAAACAAGACAAAAATCGAAGTCCCTTGGACTATTGGTTGTCCAGATTTAACAGAAATTGAATTTCTTATTGTCCAATATCCCAATGATATAAGCAAAATCTTAATAATATTATAAATGGTAAAATTTGAATGTATGGATGGATAGATGTTTGTTAGATATCTCGGGAATGGCTGAACGCATTGATGTACAACATAGTCTCAAAGAACGCATAGACAAATGATTAGGTTTTTATTTAATTCCGCGCGGATGGAATCGCGGGCGTCCGCTAGTGAATTATACAACTTAACTCTTATGTCTGTAAATAGTAGTGCATAGAATACAATAGTTTTGTAGATTTTTCATTTGTGCTTCTTATTCTTATGTTCATATCAACATGTTTTAGTGGTTGACACCAACAGAAATATTAGAGAGCAGTAGTAAAGCTGAAGTAATACTTTATCCACCTCAAGCTTATGAGTTTAGCAGATTAGCATATTTACCCGATATAAATGAATTGTTAACATTTGCTAAGGAAAGGAGTTCTAAGGGTAATATATTATTATACCCTGTGCCAATTCAAGCCAAGGATGGCATGATTCAATTGCTACCAGGTATTTTTCTACTATATTTACATATCCAGACTGCTTAATGGAAGTCTTAAACATGTCAAAACCTTTTTTTTACATCATAAGACGGCCAAAGGGTGAGCCACGTAAATCGCTGAAATAGCAAAGCAACCGTTGCCCAGACGTAGGCAAATATACATGTATTGCCTACCTTTAATCAACTTAGAAGGTGATGCACCGAAAGAGAATATTTTCCCTGCATCCTCTCAACCTGAAAATCCACTTCTACTTCACATCCTTTTCTCAAGAAGAAGGGTGGGAAAGGAAAGAGGACAAAAATTAGGACTCCATTACACTTTCATCAGACGAAACTCGGAATTGTTTCCACTTGACGCCATGTGTTTCAACTTTGAAAGAACTTTTAAAAAATCATATTTCCCTTTCATTCGTGAAAAAACTTCTTTATTGAGAATATTATAATGTATAAAATGTAATCGGGTTTGATATTATACAATCTATGTAATTCCAAACTTCATTATTATTCTTCTAATAATGTTATACATTTGTTGGCTAAATTATCAGTCATGTATATTTATTTTTCTTTTTTTCCTTTGTAATTGTGCCTTGATTATAGCTGGTATATATAGAATTTATGTATACATATTACATAAATAAATACTTTAATTTTTTTTTAAAATAGAGAAAATAAATAGCAACACAATAGTTTAAAAGTAAATTCCATACAACTCAAAGCAAATAGGTAGATTTTGTGTAAATATATTTAAATAAGATACTTATAAATGTTTTAACATTGCACTAAATGCTTATATAGAATTATGTGAATAGTTGTTTTTGTAGTTTTTGCTTGTGCATGCTTAAAATATAACTTGTAGACTTGTTTTTGTGTTCGCAAAACTTAATAAACTGGTTTAAGTTAATAAAGTTACTGTATAATTGTCTAATAAAATGTGATTTAAATAGGTAATTATTTAAAATTGTTCAAACAGGTTTTATAATTATCTAAAATTCTTTGGCCTCAGCTACTTGTCTACTTATTGAATAACATGGATAGTATGATATATTTCAAACAATATTTTCTCTTTCAGGTGATTATCTGTACCCGTCCGATGTAGATTTCAACACTCAAATTGATCCTATAAAAGACAAAACTATATTGGAACTCAGAGACAATAATCAATCACTCCATAGAGTTGAAGTGACAAAATCAAGAAGAGAAATCATTATACAAAATTATCATCCTACAAACCATATCACTATGAATAACTTGATTATACCATTTCCTTCAATAACCGCTTAAAAAGTGTATACTCCTAAAATAAGTGTATAAATACAGTTAGTTTAGCTTCAGGCCTCATTACATATAAATATTAGTAATAATTGATTCAAATAGTACGTTCATATTCAAGAAGAATTAAAAATGGCGGGATTGGGACATACATGGCCTAACAGTCAGGATGACTACGAGTTGTTGGAAGTGATCGGCGTGGGGGCGACTGCCGTCGTACACGCCGCCTACTGCCAGCCGCGAGCAGAAAAGTGCGCTATCAAACGAATCAACCTCGAGAAGTGGAACACCTCCATGGATGAACTCCTGAAGGAGATACAAGCTATGTCCAGCTGCAACCACGAGAACGTCGTCACCTACTACACGAGCTTTGTGGTTAAAGAAGAGCTGTGGCTCGTGCTCCGCCTCCTCGAGGGAGGCAGCCTGTTGGACATCATCAAGCACAAAATGAGAATTTCCAACTGCAAGCATGGCGTTTTCGACGAGGCCACCATTGCCACCGTTCTGAAGGAAGTCCTGAAGGGACTCGAATACTTTCATCAGAATGGACAAATACACAGAGATATCAAAGCGGGCAACATCCTTCTCGGCGACGAGGGGACGGTCCAGATCGCAGATTTCGGTGTATCCGCGTGGCTGGCGACCGGCAGGGACCTGTCTCGGCAGAAAGTGCGCCACACGTTCGTCGGCACCCCCTGCTGGATGGCGCCCGAGGTCATGGAGCAAAACCACGGCTACGATTTCAAAGCGGACATTTGGTCTTTCGGCATCACCGCCATAGAAATGGCGACCGGCACCGCACCCTACCACAAGTACCCGCCGATGAAAGTGTTGATGCTGACGCTGCAAAACGACCCGCCCACCCTCGACACCGGCGCCGAAGAGAAGGACCAGTACAAGGCGTACGGAAAAACTTTTAGAAAAATGATATCCGAGTGCCTCCAAAAGGATCCGACCAAAAGGCCCTCCGCCACGGAGCTGCTCAAGCACTCGTTCTTCAAGAAGGCCAAGGACCGGAAGTATCTCGTGCAGACTCTGGTGTCGATCGGGCCGAGCATGGAGACGCGCGTGCACAAGGCGAGCAAACGGCAGCCGGGCGCCTCGGGCCGCCTGCACCGCATGGAGACCGGCGAGTGGGTATGGGAGAGCGAGGAAGAGGATGACGACGAGGAAGGCGACGGCGGCCGCGACCGCCCCATGAACCAGCTGCCGCGCGCCGACTCCTCCGACAGCGACAGCGAGGGCGAGCCGGCCGAGGGCGCCGGCTTCACCATCGGCTCGCTGGCGGCCGGCGAGGCGCCGCAGATCGACCTCGTGCTGCGCATGCGCAACGCCAACAAGGAGCTGAACGACATCCGGTTCGAGTTCGCGCCGGGCAAGGACTCGGCGGACGGCATCGCCACGGAGCTGGTGGGCGCGGGGCTGGTGGCGGCGTGCGACGCGGCGGCGATCGCTGCGCAGCTGCAGCGCCTCGTGGACCTGAACCTGTTCCCGGCGCCGGGGGGTGGCGCGCCGCCGCGCTCGCTCACCTTCCGGCTGGACTCTGCGGACCCGGCGGACGTGCTGGACGAGAAGGGCCTGGTGGGCTACGCGCAGATATCTATCGTGGACTGAGCGCGCGCCGCCGCCTGGACAATAATCCTCTCTTAGGTACTAATGACTTGATCGTTCGAGCGCTAAACTATTTTATGCTGTAACTTAAGTAACTAGATATTTTATATGGGTGGATATGGAATACATTTATCATTCAAAGCTCAAATGATTGTATTAAGTGATAGAAAGGTGAATCTGAATTTATAAGATTTTTTTATTATTAAATATTGTGTTTATTTACTGCTCTGTATCTTAAAAACACTGTAACTGATTATTATCCTATTTTAATGAATTTATTTCACTTCAATGAATTTATTCAAGTGATCGAATTTTCCGCTATATACTATATTGGCGTGCTTGAGATTCAATGACACATTATGTAGACATGTGACACCAAAGTATTGGGTTGCTGCGATGGCGGCCGTAGGGAACACCTCATCCGGTAGAGCTCTGAGAGTGCCATAACTAATCCTGACATTACAGGAGGTGGGAGATCCATTGTGCTGTATGTATGTTCTGTGATGAATGTATAATATGATATAATCATAGTAATACGAAGCTTTCGCGAACGCTTTTCATCAGATCATTACAGTGTTTGAAATAAATGTAGCAGATGTATGTAGCACCACATATGTTCTTTTTATGTTGTTATTTGTTTGTTGCTTATTTTAAAATTATTCTTAAAATAATAAAATGCGAATTTAAACTGTTGGATGTTTTATTAAATCGCTACAATTATATGAATCATACAGGTAGTCTATATTACATATCGGGTTAATACAAATTTATTTTTACACCAAAGTTACCAAAAGTTTATAAATTTTAAAAATTTTACATTTGAAGCAATATCTATAAATGTACTTTGCACTATAAAATGACTAAGTGAAATTACGCAAACGATCGCTTAATATACCTTATTGAAGCATTAGAAAGCTCAAAATTCAAAAACCTCCTCACTTAACTATCAGTTCTATGTTATTTTACACAATTTTTTATCTAAAATTAAGTCAAAAGTGCAAAAACTTACAGCTAAATGGAATATCGCATAGCGATGCACAAGTGTGTTACAAAAGTTAGGAAAAAAATTATCCTAGGACATTCAAATCAAAGTACGTTTTCCCTCCAACACGTGGCCAGTGAGACATGACGTTAAGTTTTTGTAGTAAAAAAATAAGTATAGTGCAAATAAAATATTTGGAACGGGTAAAAACAACAAGACTGCCTCGCGTCATTTTTACTTGGTGTAAATTTAATTTAAACTATCGTAAATTAGTAAATAATAAGTACACATTGTTAACACAGGTACAAGAACAGAAAAAATGTAACTAGACCGAAACACAGCTGATCGGACGTACGGGTTACTTGAATATTTACAAAAAAACTCCAAAAATCCTTAAATTTATTGGCCATCTAGATTAGCAAAAATGGACATTTTTTTAAATGGCAATAATTGACAAGAATGCAAAATACATACTCTAGATTTCTTAGTAACATAAAAAAATAAGCACCCACGTCATTGGATGGCTTAAAATATCTGATTTATAAAAAATTTAAAAATAGATGTTGCATGTTGTGGATTTATTATTTTTGAAAAAGCATTTTACCTAAAATTAAAAAGTTTAAAAGTTTTAATTATTATAATAAATGAAAACATCACATACCTAACAGAAATGGAAATAAAATGTTAGAAAAATAACGATATAACAAACAACACAAGGATAAATTTTATTATTATAACAAAGAGTACTAAATTTAGTAATGCTATTAGGTGGTGTTAAAAAAAATATTATAATAAAACAAGCATTATTGACAAGATTAGTATAATGACTAGAAAGCAAATAAGTTTAATAAAATCTTACAAAAATCAAATCAAGTACTTTAACATTAATACACAGAAAAAGCACAACAAAAAGATTTTAGTTATCTCTGGCTTACTAAAAAAAATCTATTTACAACGAGGAGTATTATAAATAAATAATCGTGTATAAATATATCTTTAAGTCAAATCACAATTAAATCTAGATAAAAAATCACATAAATTTATAATACTTAAAAAATAAGCCAGTATTTGAAAAGAAATAAATCTACTTACAGTTATTGTAACAAATTTGTTAATACTTTAGTTGAATACAGATTATAAAAAAAAACAAATGCATCACAAGATGTACATTCTGAATGTGTGTGACACTTTCACACATATCGTCATCTCTTATATACTCTTTGAAAAAAGAGAGACAGCAGTATGTTTCAATGCAACTATCACTGGAGTCAAAATCCTCAGCAAGAGAGAGAGAGCTAAACATATTTTAACGGCAAAGAACTTTTGATACCTTAATCCGATGCTGTCAAAGCTTTGTATTATTATTTTTCTACTTTACCAAATGAAATCAGTGTCAAAGTAATGTTGGAATGTAAAAAATACACATTGATGATAGATAATTCTTATTCTAAAAATATATTAGGCATGAAATAAAATGGAAAAATTAATCTATGGCACTTTTTTAAAAGCAGCAGGAATATAATTGGAATGTCGTATGAAAAAATAATAAACGTTCAGTTAAGTACTAGAGCAAAATAAATTTTTGAAACAATTACAAATTATTTTACAATGTCACACTTAAAAAAAACATATAAATAAGTGTTTAACATTCATAGCTTATCATAAAGATCGTTAGTTATTTTATCGTGAAATCCAATTATGACATTTTTTATAACACAAAAAAATACGAGATTCTTATAATCACAGCCAAGCACACACACAATCTTATTTAGATCAAACATTAACTGGTTAAGCGTTTTATTTAAATGCAAGACATTTATGTATGTATTACATAAAAAGCAAACCATAACATAAATAAATACTTATATATAATGTGCGCTCAAAGCTTATCTACATATATATTCCACATTCTAATGTATTAAATACATTATTTAAACATAAAACTAAATAATTGGTTAATTTAGAAAATTAATTAATTAATTTGCACAATAACTAAGTATTCTGTCTGAATATTTTAAATACTAAAATGTTCATAGCGGAATAAAATTGTTAAAGCTTTAATATAATAAGAAAAATTTGTGCGTAAATTAAGCGTATAACGGTGACCTTATATACTATTTCTTATTATTACTAATAATAATAATTATTATAATATTAACTACGATTCTAAAATTCTCCAAAAATGTGTCAAATTACATATAAATGTTATATCAGGCTTTATTATGATGAAGTTATTTTGGCTTGTATTGGCATCTCTTGTGGTTATTGGGATATATACAAATGTATACAAAAAGTTAAATGCAAAAAGAAAATTATACAATTTGAAGTAGATTAAAACAAAACATTAAAAACTGTATTCGGAAATCTTTCATTGGACAAGTCTTTTTAACTTTATTTGATGTAAAATGTAATTAAAGTTAAATAAGAGCCAACGCAAGGCGCGAGATTCAATATACGTTTAGTTTGTAGTCATTTCGTTTAAATGTAAATTGTACTCTGTATTTATATTTTCAATTTATCTCATTCAATGACTAAAATATTGTCTTACGATGGATTAACAAAAAATCAGATCTACTTACTAGATCACACGGAAATAATATATTTAGTCTCAGAGATAAATTATCCTAGTTTAATGGAATAATATAAACAACTAAGTTGATCCATTAAACTAACACAAGGGATCAAAGCTGTTAGTCAAAGCAACAAAACAAACACTATTAACGTAGCAAGACGCTTCACGTAATTAGTTCTCGTACCTTAGAGACGGACCTCAACCACCCAAAGTCTATTCAACATGAATATAGTGAAAAACCAAACAAAGTTGTCTTCAAAGATCCGTCTGTAAAGGTTGTCAAAAAATCAGAAAAGTTCGACAACTTTCTTTTTCAAGTACTCCTTGAGGGGGGCGTAGTAGTGATGCCGGAGGGAGATGATTTCCGGCTTACGCTTGAGATGTCGCAGCAGCGGCCAGTCGGTCTCGAAGACGAGGAGCGCGGTGAGGGCGAGGGAGAACCACACGAACAGGAAGGAGGGCACGAAGGCGCGCAGCAGGCTGAAGGGGCGCGGCGGCGGCTGCAGCGCGGGCCGCCATTCCTCCGCCTGAGAGGCGTGCGTGCCTTGCGTGCCGTGCGTTCCGAGCGTGCCGTGCGTCGCCGCGGACTCAGTGGACGAGTGCTCGTATGGATCCCGCGCACTGTACTCGGGACAGGCGGCTGTAACAATTCAATCGCAATCGTTATAGACAAACTAACTTGACCTAAGGTAAGAGGCGCTGCTATCGTTATTACTTGTGTCAAATATATATAAAACCTACTTAGTCATAGAAAATGACATGACAGCTACAGTACAAAGAGGATCTTGTGACATTGACAGGGGCGCTAGTGAGCTGTCAATATTAAGTTTGACTTATGCCCACAGATTCAGATAATATCGTAGATCTATGAAAATGTGTGTGGGTATTGTGCGTAGTTTACCTGACGTCTTGTCGCAGCAGGCGAGCGCGATGTCGACGGCGGCTCCACTGAGCAGACAGGCGCCGTCACACATCTCGCCCTCCGCCCCGCCACCAACCCCACCCACACCACCGCTCTCCTCCAGCGGCGCGCTGTGCGTCGAACGCGGCAGGCTGCTGTATCCTGAAAACACAACATATTTCCACCTTATCGATCAACCGTTTCATGCCGTAATACATATCTCTGCCTCTCTTTCTCTGTCTCTCTATCTTTTTCTCTCTCTCTTTCTATTCTGATATCGTATGAATCACCGCACAGATTCCTTTAGCTCTTTCCTAGTAAATCTAAACCAGGAGTAGCTTGCTCTTTTCCTCACACCATGCTTACCAAAGTCTCCAGTCATAGGTGTAGAGGGCGTCGCGGGCACGCTCGACGCTTTCCTCCTGCCACCGCCACTTGACCCTTCCTCCTGACCAAAACGAAAATTCACTAAAAAACATGGTCTTATTTATGTCTATTTGTCTGTATGTCTGTCCGCAAGCCCGCTTTTGTTCCGGGGGTAATCTCCAGACCGACAGGACCGATTTTGACGAAACTTTGACGGGAAGATAGCCGATATTAGCATATCATAGACTGCTTTTTAAATTCGGCGCTGACTAAATCGCTAGCGACTCCAAGCACACGATCATAATTCTGGTCTAACTATAAGTCTAGTGTAAATACAAGTCTGGTCTAGATATAGATCATACCGAATGGTCCCGGGGCGCCAGTAGGCCATCCCTCTCGAGTATCTCTCGCTCAGTGCGGCCCACGTATTTAAACTTTGTGCCCCACGAGAACAGTCCGCCGCCAGAGTACACACACGCGTCAGATGATGATGGCAACCTGTTACAAACACTTCATAAATACAAAAACACGAGTCTAACCACTGACAGTGGTTATATGGACAGGCTATAAGATGTATATTGTGTCTATTCGATTTTCGACATTTTGAAAGATAACTGTTTATAGCGGTGACAAGAATTCAAATCATAGCAACAGTTGTACTTTCCAAGCAAAAAATCCATTTATAGAAATCAGTGCCTGTAACGGATGAGACCCTGAGAGATTTGTCACGGTCCTGGCACACCTCTATATTATACGAATTTCATAAATATGCATGCAAATAATAATGAACTTGATATTGATTGAAAAAAAGTAAGACAGACTGATCGTACATCTATGACAGGCTAAGATTTAGGTACAGACAAATTAAATCTTTTACTTTTCTTTTTATATCATAAAGTGGCAAACGAGCGAGCGGCCACCTAAAATCGCTGAAACAGCGAAGTGACCGTTGCCCATAGACATACGCAATTGCATATGCGTTGCCTACCTTTAATCGTCGAAGGAGAGGATGCATAGAAATAAAATAAAACTTATATTCATGCAAACATTTTCGATGACAATTATGTAATCATACTAACGTAAAAAACAGCATTTGCTCGATAGCGCAGCACCACACGTGTCGGCACGCGGCGCCGCTCGGACATTTAAATCCCACAGTGTGCTTTTTCTGAAAAAAAAAACATTCATTAAAAACAAATTTATTTCCACATTCCATGCCACATCATGACTCGAGTCGGTAGCATTGAATGTGTTAACATTAAAAGTATGTGGCGCTGGTCAAATAAATTACTATTTCTAATAAAAAATACTTACTTCAGGGTAATTTAAATGCACGATAAACATGCGTCCCTCGAAATTGATTTTATTGACTTCGGACCACTTAAAGTGGTTAGTCTTGCGACCGCCCTGGAACGTGAGGATGCCGCCGTGGTTGATGCCCAGGTACAGCTGGTTACCTCGGTGATCCTGACAACAAATAAATATGTAAAAAGTTACAAGTGCTTATTCCAAGTAACAATTAAATGAAAACAATGGACATAAACAAACAATTAAAAAAAAACGGTGCCAAAGCCTTCACCATTAAAAAATCAACATTTTTAGTACAAATATTTAATAAAACTTTTCGAAGCTTTGGTCTACTAAAAATTAACACATCAAGTACCACCAATTTACTCTATCAGTTCACTTTAGTACCTAACATGGCAGTAAAAGTGTTAAGAACAGGAAAAAAAATTAAGAAATTCAAGATTTCTAATGCAAGTAGACAGAAAATCAGCTTAACTTACAAATAAAAACAATATAATAAGAAATATTTTTTTCTACAAACATAACATATTCAAAAATCAAACCTTAACAGGATGTGGATCAACTCCATAGGTGTCGAGCTGGCAAGCAATCTTGAGGAAGGTCCTCTCCGCCTCCTGCGTGGTGAGGCCCTTCACACCGCCCGTGCCACACGGAGACCCCTCCACAGGCTCCCGGTGCAACTCCTGAATAATTACATACACAGTAACACTATTACTACAATTATTGACATAACTAGCTGTCGCACGCGACTATGGCCGCGCGGAATTATAAAATAAAACATAATCAGTAGTCTATGTGTTCTTCCAGACTATGTTCAATATGCATACCAAATTTTGATCGAGTTCCATTCAACCGTTTTGGAGAGACCTTCAAACAAACACCCTTCCATCCATCCATTTAAATAGTCGCATTTATAATATTAGTAAGAAGTAAAATTTACAACAAAAGCTAAAAGATATCTATCACATATATGTGAAGTAAAAAAACAAATAATTTCTAAACCGCAGTCACACTGATAAAAAATGAACTTACTAAAGCTGGGCTTTAACTATTCAAGTACATTCTAACAATATACTTTTAAATGAATACTGCAGTGTTAAGATTCATTTCAATTGCATGTTTGGTTTCATTGCTTACTTTCACAAGGAAAACAAAGTATTATATTCATGGAGGTCAGAGCTAATTTTGTACCTGTATCCTAGCCTCAATAGCATCTGTTTGTCTCAGCAACAGTCGCATCTCCGCCACATAGTTGCCTATATGTATACTTGGATCGTAATCACCAAGTTCAACTGAAAAGGGTATTAAATTGTTCAAATGTAATAGTCACCATGGGTTTCTGAGACCAAAGGCTCTGTTTAAAACATATTGATAAGTTAATTTTGTCACAGATTACGACAGGGAGAAGATATGTTTTATACAGAGATTTTGGTTTTAGAAACTCACTGTCAATAAATTAAACTACATTACGATACCTTGACAACGAGTGACATGTTTCAAATTAAATATTTTTAGCGGGAACTTAATAATAAATGATATAACAACACACAGTCGAACCTCAATAAGCAAGAGTAATTGTACGGGCCCTACATCTTCATAAGCGAAAATCTTCATAAGCGACAAACTTAGGTTAGAGAGAAACCTCTAAGCACGAAAATAAGTCGTCTCTTGGGCTCTTGTTTATCGAAGCTTGACTGTATAAAACCAAAAATTTTTTTTTTAAATACTAACAAATCTAACAAATTATCTTTAAGTATAGGGAGTTATAGTTTTCAGAACTTTATAACTAGTAAAGATTATAAGAATTACAAAGAGTACATAACATACTTTGTATGATTAACGCGCCGAGCATAGCCGCTTCGTTAGCCGTACAATACAGCCTCCCATGTAAGAGATCTCGTTTCAATTGCAAGTATATTTGGAATCGAGTGACATCTTCTTTTAACAGAAGCGGATTCGGTGGATAAAACTTTACTCGGAAACTAAAGAGCATTGGTGAGGAATCTGGAATAGAAATATTTTCATAAACTACTAAACAGATTCTTTAGACTCCAATTCCTAAACTAGAATAAATAATCAAATCTATTGTACTAATATTAATGAACTCTTGTCTTTTTACCGTAAATTATATGCATATCATAGAAATCATGCATACCACACAAAATTCTGATGTAATTTCATTAATACAAATAAGAAAATGACATCATACACAAATCATTTAAACTTTTGTGAGACATTATTATAAGCTAATATGTAAATGGCTAAGCACTCACATATATGTCCAATGTTAGCATCAACTAGTTTCAAGCCCATGTGGAGCCCTTTATAAGGGTGAGTAGGACTTTATTTTGCGGTTTCATCCCATCCTGATGCAAGTAAAACTGGTTGATGCCGACACAGAACAAATACATGTTGTTTATGTATTAGTTGATATCATACATGTTACATTCTATTGAGTTATACAAAATGAATAAAATAGTGAAATTTTACTTACCTTTTACTTGTTTCAGTATTAATTTTGCAATATGCAGCCAATGCTGAAATAAAACAAGATATTGTTAAATATTCTGAGAGTTAAATTAGACCATGTAACATTACATTTATGAAATTTTTGATGTAAACAAAATGACAACACGGATTTAATGCCTTTAACCATTACCATGTGCTACCACTCCCTAAATATCCGCACGAACACATGTTTTTATCTGGTTTTTTGTGAAGGGAGAGATTTACACAATATTCCACATTCAAAAATTAAAGAAAAATCTATCACTGCAGGGATTGCAGTGTTTTCGGATTAAACATTAAATTTGTGAAGCCAAACCATCTACATTACTTTAGCATTGCACTCCATAAATGTTTTACATTTCTTGTTATAAAATAATTTAGTGGAAAACAAAGTAATTAGATAAGAGTACAAATTATTCTTACTCTTTGCCCCACAGAATCCACATAGCGCAGCCCAAAATAATCTATTTCTGCCAAATTCAACTGCTGGCATACATGCTCTAATAGATATTTCCCCTTATAGCCAGGCTGGAACATATTATAACTATGTTAAATCATTCACAGAATAAAAGTCATAAATATTGTAATACATTTGTTTCTATTTCATAGGTTTTTTCCAATTTGTTTCATCACAGGCGAGATTACTTTATATAGTTTGATTAAATTAGCAAATTTTATATGGTCTTTTAAATGGATGTCTTTTTAATGAATAATGTACAGCAGTTAGATAAAATTTACTATAGTGACTTACATGGAATTCGCACTCTAATATTTCTGTATCTTCCAACAACCGAACAGTACATTTATAAACAATATTACTATCACCACGACTCTTAAACATTATGCCCAATTTATTCCTCGAATATTGTACGCATAAAACGCTTATAGTTAATCAATTTGACATATTTATTTGAAATGAGATGTTTGCTTAATTTAATGTATTTTACTTGAGCGTATTTTAAGTATAACACATTGTAATTTATTTTATTTAGCAATATTTTCTGTTTTCCGATTTTTCTTAAAGTTTGAGGGGTGCGGGTTATTGACTATTCGACTTTCCAGTCACTTTTGATACAGATTAAAAATACAATAGAAGATAATACAATAAGAAGAATTAACAAAAGAAAAACATTATTTTCTATTATACTGTTATTAAAAAGTTGTGAATATTCTTATACAGTACCAATCATTAGTTTTTTAAGAATATAAATCATATGCTCACGTATATTATAACACAATTTTTTATTAAATCAACATGATTTTAATCAATTTTGTTATTATATATGAATATTGAAACTTGTTTTTGGAAATCGAAATAACTCGTTGAACATACAAGATAAATTAAAATAAATATATAAATTTGAAAATTATATCTAATAGAATTGCATCATATTTCATAACAAATTTCCGAACACATGAGCAACGTTTCACAACATAAACCAGATATGACGTCAAAAGAAATTTAGGGTAGCCAGGTAACGTAATTTACACAATTTTCAGAAGAGTTAATCACTAACAATGAAATAAAAATAACGTAATAACTTTTTTGTCTTCATCTATCATATGGCAAGTAAAATAATATTTATCGTTACCTTTTCTTCTACGTCATACTTGCCGGATGAAGGGGAATGCTAAGACCCTTATAAATTACTAGAATTTAAGGGCTGCTAATGTCCCTATAAGCTTCCGATCAAAATTTTGGCTGACCTTGTGATTTCTAACTAATATTATGATTTTTAGTTATAGTCACATATCAATAGTTTCTGTAATAATTTTATTGCACTTTAACTGTCGCTTTGGCAGATTTTTTTTCTTTAAGCAATCGAATAATTTTTCAGTACGACTAAAACGTATCATGTTTGCTTAAATTTAAATATGTAAAATGTTCACTGCCAAATTATTTTGAAAATATTGTTTCGTAAATCTTTGTGTATGTTTTAATGAAAAATTTTGATTCTTATATTGCCACACTGAAAACCGGATATGACTACTTTTCTTTCCTTCCAGTCTGATCAATATCCAATTCTCGTTCATTCTGTTGGAGTCTTTCTCGGATATTACACGCTGACTGTAATCCGTGGTGAGTGTCAGAACCAGAAGAGAGTTCTTGTGCCGTGAAAACCCTAGTGATTTATTACTTTTATTTTAAAGTTGTGTTAGTATTTAGAAGTAAGATTTTTTTATTTTGTTCATAAAACATACGCTAAATTGATTTTGATTTCTTTTCTCTTTTGAAGTGGATTAAACATACGTTTTAATATATCACGTGTCGACGTTTAACCGTGAATTCTATCTTTCTTTTGTTTCAAAAAGTGTTAAACTTACGAAAATATCGAGAAATGAAAGGATTTATAATTGCGATTGCTTACGCGTCATACTTTCGCATCAACCGGCACATGTCACCACGTGGTGTGAATCATCTTGTTTTCTGTTGCAAGTTTTCTAAACTTTCAAATTATATTGCAATAGTATTTCCATGCCAATTATACTAATTTTCAAATTAAACGATACTGGTTTTTCTCTAAATAATGGCACATATTCATTGTGAAGTGTTGAGACGGGGCGAGGCGGCCATGCCACTGCCGAGCCGCCATATTGCCGGCCGCGTATCTAACATGAGGCTATGACCTTGTGAATATGCATTGCGAGTCCTTTTTGCAATTCTACGAATTCTTTCTTAACTAACCGATATTTTTCTATTGTTCTAGACTAACCAAAAATGGGCAAGGAAAAGATACACATTAACATTGTCGTCATTGGACACGTCGACTCTGGCAAGTCCACCACCACCGGCCACTTGATCTACAAATGTGGTGGTATCGACAAACGTACCATCGAGAAGTTCGAGAAGGAAGCCCAAGAAATGGGCAAAGGTTCCTTCAAGTACGCCTGGGTTTTGGACAAGCTGAAGGCTGAGCGTGAACGTGGTATCACCATCGACATCGCCCTGTGGAAGTTCGAGACTAGCAAATACTATGTCACCATCATCGACGCTCCCGGACACAGAGATTTCATCAAGAACATGATCACAGGAACGTCGCAGGCTGATTGCGCCGTGCTCATTGTCGCCGCCGGTACCGGTGAGTTCGAAGCAGGTATCTCCAAGAACGGACAGACCCGCGAGCACGCACTACTCGCCTTCACACTCGGTGTCAAACAACTGATCGTCGGTGTCAACAAAATGGACTCCACTGAGCCGCCATACAGCGAGTCCCGTTTCGAGGAAATCAAGAAGGAAGTATCGTCATACATCAAGAAAATCGGTTACAACCCAGCGGCTGTCGCTTTCGTACCCATTTCTGGCTGGCACGGAGACAACATGTTGGAGCCATCCACCAAAATGCCCTGGTTCAAGGGGTGGAATGTTGAGCGTAAGGAGGGCAAGGCTGAGGGCAAATGCCTGATTGAAGCCTTAGATGCCATCCTGCCCCCGGCTCGTCCCACCGACAAGGCTCTGCGTCTTCCCCTTCAGGACGTATACAAAATTGGTGGTATTGGTACAGTGCCCGTAGGCAGAGTTGAAACCGGTGTCCTCAAGCCTGGTACCATCGTCGTGTTCGCGCCCGCCAACATCACTACTGAGGTTAAGTCTGTTGAAATGCACCACGAAGCTCTCCAGGAAGCCGTACCCGGTGACAATGTAGGTTTCAACGTAAAGAACGTTTCCGTCAAGGAGTTGCGTCGTGGTTACGTCGCTGGCGACTCCAAAAACAATCCCCCCAAAGGAGCTGCAGACTTTACCGCACAGGTCATCGTTCTCAACCACCCCGGTCAAATCTCCAACGGCTACACACCAGTGTTGGATTGCCACACAGCTCACATTGCCTGCAAATTCGCCGAAATTAAAGAGAAGGTCGACCGTCGTACTGGTAAATCCACTGAAGACAACCCCAAGTCCATCAAATCTGGTGATGCCGCCATTGTCAATCTTGTGCCCTCCAAGCCCCTGTGCGTGGAATCCTTCCAGGAGTTCCCACCTCTGGGTCGTTTCGCTGTGCGTGACATGAGGCAGACCGTCGCCGTTGGTGTCATCAAGTCCGTCAACTTCAAGGAAGGCGCTGGTGGAAAGGTCACCAAAGCTGCCGAGAAGGCTACCAAGGGCAAAAAGTAGCTAGCGCTGTTAACAGCACAATTCTTTATACAGCTGCGACACTTCATTCACCGAAAGGTGTTCCGAAGGAAAAAAGGGCTACAAACTCATTCCTTTTCTATATTTTTTACAAGGCTTATACCGTAACATTATAATTTATAAGGTTATACATATATCTGAAATATTTTGTTATGATTGCAACATGTAAATTCATAGAATAAATGTAGCCTCCAATAATTTATAGTTTTATTTCTTAAGTTATATCACTCATGTACCCTTTTTAACATTAAATATTCATAAATTTTATACCTTTTTTTGTTCTTGCCCTTCATGATACAGTTTACAAAACGATTACATCTATAAATGAATTTGGTTTTAAATGGTCCAGTTCAAAAAAATTGTAGTGATCTAATAACACTGCAAACAAAAACTGAATTTTATAGTGTAGTTCTACATAAAGTACCTAAAACTTTTTAAATTCTATTTCTTGCACTTTAATGTACATGTGTATGTAAAGTGAAAGGCATTCCCGGTAGAGGGCACTGTAAACCAGGGATTCAGAGTGTACACGGTCATAAATTTGGTATTAATAGCGTGTTACGAGTTCTAGACTTACAAGGTGACTTGGGCACAATGAATTAAAGAACAAGTCTATATAGGTATAGATAGCAGTAACAATCTCATTTATAGGGAAGTCCCAAAAAAGGAATTAAGGCATTATATTGTTATTCCATAAAAAATTAAGGCTAGATATTTCTAGAACGTAATATAGTACCGGTGGTAGGGGAAGGCAGAAGAGGACGCCTCAGGTCAGAATTTCTTTTTTTATATCGTAAGGTGGCGAGCGAGCGGCCACCTGAAATAGCGAAGTGACTGTCGCCCATAGACATACGCAATTGCATATGCATTGCCTACCTTAAATCGAAGGAGGAGAGGATGCACAGAATGAAAATATTTTCTCTTCCGGAAGGTCCACTTCCCAACCCTTCCTCATAAGAAAAAGGGTGGGAAGGGAAAGAGGACTAAATTAGGCCTCCGGGAAGCACACTCATCAGACGAAACGCGGAATTGCTTCCACTTCACGCCTGTCTTCTGTGTGGTCGTGGTATTTCACCGGGCGAGCCGGGCCAATTCGTGCGAAGATGTTAAAGCGGGCTCTACCACTGTTATCTTACTAATATTATAAATGCGAATGTTTAGGTGGAAGGATGGATGTTTGGAAGGTACGTCCAGAACGGCTGTATGGATTTCCTTGTAATTTTGCATAAATGTAGAACTCCTCCCCAAAAGCTTTAAAAAGGGGCGTCCCAAAAATTTCGCCCAGGACGATAGTAGCGTTTAAAGCGGCCCTGACTATGAAGATAGGTACTTACCATTGACAGATCTTGTACTTTTTGCGATTAATAATTCATATTTATTAAAAAAAATAGTTTAAATTTTACCAAATAACACGCGTCTTAAGCATATTTTTATATTCAATTTGACAAATGATCATTCAATATCCAAAAAGTACTTATTGGATGGTTTTATATAAAAAGGATTGTTTGGTCGCACAAAACCTGCCGTATACCATACGGTAAAAAATTAACTTTAGTATTATGGGAAAAGGATTTTATCTCAACCTGTGCAAAATCTTTTTATAATATGCTGTTTAATTTAGAAATATGAGTGTAATATAAGTGTGAGCGATAAATGTGATCGTTTTTTCCATTAACTAATATAGTTGTAGATTGTATGTAATGTTATTGAACCCTACAAAAATTCCCTACTTTCGTCCTATTTAGCTGTTTAGTCAGTTTGAGAGTAATGCCCTCGACGGACGCCGGCTATGAAATTGGAATCATTTTGTCACCGATTCACGTTGTGTGTAAGTAAATGCCTAAAATATACCCATTTCGTGCTCTATCTATTAGATCATAAGTATAGTATGAGTCATTATTATAACCAAAATTTATTTTATGGAATCTTGGAACATCGGCGACGCAGGGGTTAAGCACTTGACTTGTAATCTTCAGGTCCTACGTGCGAATCCCTCGATGTACAAATGTGTTTTTCAATTTGCATATGTACATTTATCCAATCAGACATTCTTATGGTGAAAAGGAACATCGTGAAGCAACCTGCATTAGGCCAGCTTGGCAAGTAGGCTTTGACACCTCAGTGGGCATGTATAATGGCTAATAAGCCTTGTATAGTAACAGCTAAAAGGTAGTAATAGAAGAGGTATAGTAATTGTTTAGAAGTAGCATAGGTGAAATATAGTGATAGGTAGGAGAAACAATATGAAAGTAGTAAAAGGTGAGATGTAAAAGGTAGTAATTGGTATGAATAGGTGTAGGATTTCGTCATAAAGCTTTTGCTTTGTTTATATGAAAACAGTTTGACATAAAATAGGTTTACTAAAAAGTTGTTTTGTTGCTCAAGTGTGAAAATAAGAACACAAATATGTTAATAACGTTTACTACACCTAGTTAAACAATTTATCTTTACACAAGATCATTACTGATTTTCATTATTTTCCTGCAATCTTTCATCTTGTTCTATAATAAAATTCGCCCACTCTTCAGCTTCTTTGAGCTTTCGTCTCCTTGTGTAAGGCGTATACCACAATTTATTGGTTATATAAACTGCTGTAGTAATAGACACACCCATTAACATCTTCGAAAGCAGACTTGAATGTTTAAGCCATTGCTTTATCGAATTCATAGCTAATCACTCAGAAGGACTTGTTTCTAAAGCTTTTTTCTTTCTAGGATAATGTTCTTCGAAAAGAGGTTTCCAAATGTAAACACCAGAGAAAACCCCTAAAATAGTGATTAACACGATTTGTCCTCTTGTCAATCCACGCGGTCTATAAATTTTCATAGTGATAAATTGATCATTTTTTGACTAAATTCCTCTGGATTAGTATGGAATTTAAAGAAGTTTCAATTTTTAGTATATTTTTTTAGTTTAAGGTTATGACAAGATATGACATAACTTACTGTCAAATTTTTAATTTCATAGAGTAGGAAATCGGAATTAGAGAAGAAAAATGGGTTAATTCATTTATTACCCCATTAAAATATAACCCCTAGGGACCGAAAAAAATCATACGATGAAAGCATAAATTGTTTTATCACACCTCCTCCACCTACTCTATAGAGATCAGATAAATTTGTCATGATGTAGATACTAAAGGTCTATGCTACCAGGTAATAAAATTAAAAAAAAAGCTGTCAGTGTCACATGTTCCCGTGGATTGTTTTGGTTCCTTAATTTCACTTTTTTTTTAAATTTGATATAAAAACTTTATATTGCAGTTAATTACATAAGCGGATATTTTATTCTAATAAGCAAAAAGTAAACAATGGAGAGACGTCCCAGATTTGCACCCAATATATTAATTACAGGTTAGATATTGGTTATGAACTTGTGATATTAATAATTTATTAAGAAGAATTGGTTCCAAGTACCAAATTAGCAATGTAAAAACCTTTGTTAATATGGTTTTGGACTTGGTTTCTAATTATACGATTATAAAGTAGAATACACAATGGTGTATTTAATCTTAATGTGCATACAACAAGTCTCTAGCTTTAAACACTTAAAATTATTGCTCCAACACTGCTTTAGGAAATGTGTCATATCATCATGGTATTTTAACATATAGTCTTATCCATACACTTGTGGATGTCATCATAATGTAATATTTTATAAAGAAATTAATTATCACATTTCTCCATATTTCAGGAACACCAGGAGTTGGTAAATCAACAATTTGCAAGATACTGTCTGAGCGAACAAAGTACACTTGGAGAGAAGTATCAAAACTTGCTGAAGAATTTAATTGTTTAGATGAATATGATCCTGAATATCACTGTCCAGTGTTAAATGATGACAAGGTAATTTTGTGACTGGCTTCACAAGGCTCCCTAGATAAACTAACGTCTTGGTAATATAGCTAATTGAAAAGTGAAAAATTTACACATTACAATGAATTTTGTAAAAATTTATCATAGTTTCAATAAATTGTTTACAGATGCTGGACATAATGGAAAGTATGATGGAAAAAGGTGGGAACATAGTTGACTACCATGGCAGTGAATTTTTTCCTGAGCGCTGGTTTGATGGTGTTTTTGTAATAAGAACAAATAATACCATACTGTATGACAGACTAGTAGCAAGGTTAGTTAATATATATTCACTAGCGGACCCGACAGACGTTGTCCTGTCTGCACGTCTTTAATTTGAAAATTTCAAACTTTTTTTAATTGATTGCAGCGCTGTCGGGACAGACTAAAATTAAAATTCGAATATTATTTAAAATTCGACACTGCGATGGTAGCGCAGTCTGTCGGATCCAATGTAAAACATTCCAAAATCAACATCTACTAATAAATTAAAAATTAATTAAAAAAACATTGTCCAGCGGACAAAATTGTGAATCTACACCATTCCCAGATCCCAGAAAAAGCTAATAATGTGTATTTTTTATTATAGGGGTTACTCGGGAAAGAAATTAGAAGACAACATTCAGTGCGAGATATTTGAAGTATTGTTAGAAGAAGCTCAAAATTCATACAAAGCAGATATTGTTAGGGAACTTCAGAACAACACACAGGAACAACTTCTTGCTAATGTTGAAAATATTATAGAGTGGATAGAAAAATGGAAGGAAGATAATCTGTAACAATCTGCATGGACTTTGTCAATGTACTCTGGTGATACCATTCTGATATTCATTTGTAATAAGTGGCTTTCTGGCTTTTGAGGTGTACATATTGTGTCCTAATTTTTATTCTGGGCTTCCAATGTCACCACTCTGACTTTTTGAAGAGAGAATTTATCATTTGAACACTCATGTGTTTACACAAAAACTGCATTGTTGCATTAAGAAATCTAGATATAAGTTGTAAAATAAATTACAAACCATTCATGTTTATTTTATTAAAGGCATATTGCATTGAGTTAAAATGCTCACTCGGTGAACTCAGGATCAGGTATAAATTAAAATAACAGGTTTATAAATATTTACTAATTTATTTTATTATATCCCACTGACAAATATAAGAAATGCATTTAATATTACTGTATTTAGAATTATCTGATAGATTGTTCTCATTTGTTTCAAACAGATGCATTTGTGCCCCCGCTATTTAATATTAAAAACTACCTCAATAATGGTATAAAATTATTCGAGACAATTGTAAAGTGTTGCCTATCTCAATATTCAATTATATTCAATATTAAACATAGCATAAAAAAGTGTTGCTACTTTTTAAACTGTGATCTGTAAAAATTATCAATCTGTATCATCAAATCAAAACAAATGAGTTATCTATCATCATTTGCAGGCACTCGCACACATTACAATCACTCACAGATCTTTCATAGAAAGTTTCACATCACAACAATGTTGCCTACAACTCATCCTTCTTGGCAACACCCTTTCTGTCCCAGCCTTTGAGCTCGCTGGAGGCGTGCTCTGATACGTATTTAAGGAAGTCTTCTAATGAACGCCCACCCTGGAACAATTGCATAATAAATATGTAATTACAAAATTCTACTGCAATATAACTTGGTGGGGCCATGGTTTCACTAAATAACATAAGATAGGTACACGAATTTATTTACTACTCACGTTATATCTGACTGGTTTCTTGGCAGAGTCCTTGGGTTTCCAGTAGATAGTCGGGAAGCCAGACACGTCGTAGAGGGACTTGGGCCAGTCATTGGCAGTCGCGTCAATCTTTACAATGTCTACATCTTCATTCTTGAGCTATAAGAAAAACAACAAGGTTTAAAATAAACTCATTTGTAATAAAGTACATCATAACACTTTTTTTTATTTATTTTATTTTGTTACAATTAAGTTGACTTACTTTTTCACCGAGCTCATCCCATACCGGTGTCAACTTTTGGCAGTGTCCGCACCAGGGAGCGTAGAACTCAATCAGAGCATCTCTGCCGCTGTCAGTTACCAGTTCTTTGAAGTTCTTGCCAACAGCTACCTTGACTGGTCCATCATTGTTCTCTGGCAGAGCTTCCGACTTGATGAAGGGTTCCAGTTTACCATCAATCAGGTCTTTTGTGAAGGCAAGTAGGTTCTCAATGCTGAAAGAAAAAGATAAATTAAATTATTTTATTTTACTTCCCCATGATTTCAAATATTACATTAAATAATTCTGAAAAAATGTGTCACCTGAATTCAGTGGTCATGATAAACTTGTTGCCGTCACTGTCGCGTCCAGCTACAATAGGCTTGTCGGCCTTCACGTAGTCCATGCCGTACTCGTTCAGCTCATGCGTGAAGTCATCCTTGTCGCTCACGGCGAAGTTAACCTCGTTCATCTCCTTTGCCACCTACATATAAATAAAAAAAATTGTATTCCGTAGAATAACAAAGAAGAACAAAACAATCATTATTTTCTATTATTGACAGGCAATACCAAAGTTCTGTCTGGCACTGTTCCACCTTAATAGCTAAAGTCGTATAAACGATGGCGTTACTGAACTAACGATAGGACGCATATTTTATGTGTCTGTACGAAAAAAGGTCGGTTGTTGCTACATGGCTATTTATTTACTGCTACCTAATTGAAAAAAATGTGAACTTAGTTGTATTGTAAGGAACAAGTAAATTTTTCTGTTTTTGAAACACCGCGGATTTCCGCGACTGTACATGGACAAAATTGAATTCTATAATCTACCTTCAACACACGGTTCCTCCAGTAGTTTGTGCCCTTAGGGTTCTTGACATAGTCGACATCGTAGTAGGCCACCACAAGGGGATTGGTGAAGTCCTGAATGTTTTCCTTTTGACGCACGCCTACTAAACCGTGGCTGTAAAGTTAGTTCGTATAAACAGGTGATTCTAACTTTAACATCTAAAGTTTATGCCCCAATTACATTTTATTTTAGAAAAAATAGAAAAATACTTGTGCTAAAATCGAGAAAACTATACTTTGAAATTAAACAATCGATACTAATCTCCTCCTCCAAGTATTTGATCCATCTATTCAGAATGTTCCTGTATATCTTATTGTATAATATACAGGGCTGATGTCAACATATATAACAATGTATGTATGTAAGCTGTAAACATATACATATGTGTTTCAGAACATGACACTTACTAGTTCTCCTTGATGAAGGCCTTGAGAGAGTACATGTCAGTGTCGCCTTTGTACACAATTGTTGATTCTTCAAACTTGTTCTGGAGACGTTTCGGACGAAACAGTACAACATTGTCCCTGGAAAAATATATAATAATAGGAAAATATTCGTATTTTAAATGTATCAAAAACACAAGCATCAATACGTATGGAATTGAATAAAATTCTATACGACCTCGTTTGTTATTGAATGCATGAATATTATAATATGCGTAAAATAGGTGAATAATTTTGTTATAACAACAATATTTGAAAGTTAATAAGGCATGTCCGTGTCGGCAGCACAATTACAAATATATTTTCAAATACATGTATTTTCAGACTAATTATCCATGCAAGTTACGATAAAAAGTTATCTACTAGTAATAAATACGTTTAAAAATTTATACGAAGAACATTTTAAGAAATTTAAAAAGTATAGCCAATACATAACACATAATGTAAATACGTGGATATTATGTTCCTTAAGCAAAATCACACCAGACTTAAATTTATTTATAAATACTTTAAATGCAAGCATTAATTATTTGAGATGATGTTGAAAGTCCAAACTAACTTCAGGTTTTAAATTCAACTCTAAAATAATATGTTTCCCCGGTGGAAACAGACAGTAACAAAATCTTTAAAAATCCGTTTCCATTAAACACAATGTGTATTACATCAAAGTGATGACTCTTCAGTATCTAGACATGCTTATCGTACAAATTTAGATTTGGGTAAATTAAAGATGCTCCGATGCTATACCAGTAATGTTTACAACCGTTAAGATTACGTAGATTATGGGTAGTTGTTAAAATACCGCCATGCTGAAAATTAGCGATAATAACTCTCAAGATTGTAATCTGAACATTAAAATTGGATATTTCAGTCGCTAATATTGTTGCATGGTTGGTATTTTTAGATATTATTAGTTAGAATCCTTTGGCGCGAATGACGTGCTTTCGTTACGAAGTTCAGTGTCAGAATGAATTGTGAGGGGATACAAACGTCGACATTTTAGTAAGCCTAGTGTTGGGTCAATACACTGCCACATTTTTGGATTTTCTTCCCAGCAGTATATATGTGTGCTCTTTTTAATGAATGCCAGAAATTTATACTTATATATATGTAGCATTATGTACTACAAACAATACATGCACACCTACTATTTATGTATAACAATAACGGTTAAATCACGTAAATCGTGAGATTAGCAAATAATAGGAGAGAATTCATGGAGTGGTCTCATTTGTTAAGGTTATTCTAAATTCAGATTGCAGTTTTTTTTTAATTAAAATATAAAACTATATTGTACATATGGAAAATATTAAATATAATACCATGTAAGAGTTGAAAAAGGATTGATCATTGCAGTTTATTTTGTTATGTATATATTAACAAGTAATATTTGACTGTTTTACCTCTGAATTATTTATGAAGATAAGCTTTTGTTTCAATATAACAAAAAATCATTACAATGAATGTTGATAATTCATATTTCATTTAACATTATGGTGATAGTAATTAATACCAATATAATTGAGCATAATTTTGTCTTATCAAGTAATAGTGAGCTTTAATTACAATACTATTGCTACTGAAAAACATTTACAGATAGTTGAAACATCCTGTACATTTGACACCTATTAGTGTCACACTCATTCTCTATGAAAAAACAGAGACAAATATATATCTAATGGCAATACATGTTTAACGGCAGTGGAATTTTATGGTCACATTATACAATTTTGGGTAATGTTTTCTTTACATTGTTTCTAAAATTATCTACTTATTATTCAATTATACACAAATATTTGCTATTAATAAATATAATAGTTTTTATGTATTGGTACAAGTGTTTTATTGTAGACAATAAAACAAACACTTGGATAAATATTCTAACATTGCTAGTTAAATAGTTATGCTATAATTATGAGAGATAAAAAATGGCTATCAGTAAATGTCCTAGTAATTTTTCCTAGAAATATTAAAATGCAAGCAAGTATTTAGGTAGTGAATGTCATAAATAGTATGAAGCAAAATTATCATTTTTCAATAACAATTTTTAAGTTACTTAACTTTAAAATTAATCAAGTTTATAATAAGCTCTTACTTTCTCTAGAAATTAGATCAGACCCTACACGTAATTTACGACATTCATTCTCTAACAGTAATTAAATCCAGGAACATACATGTATTCCAACAAACTACTATTGGCTGTTATTGTCCATGTTGATAATATATTCTATAAATATCAATACTTACTTGTATCCAGATTTTTCTAGAACCTCCTTAGCAGAAGAGTGCCCAAAGGTGACTTCCTCACGCATTTTGTCAGCAGTCTTAAGGAACTCTCCCTTCAGGTCTGTCTCCTTCTCAAAGAATCCAACCACAACAACCTCATCCTTGGAAGTAAGTGCTTCATAATCGGCTACAGTTAACAGATCCTTAGAGCTAGGTCCAACTTGCGCCCGCATGTATTTTACAATACCATCTGTAGAATTATTTCATTACTTAATTTATAATAGAAAAAAAACTATTTTTTAATAGTAACAATTTGAATTTTTTTATATGAAGTTATCTTTGACTTAGATTGAGGAAAAGTATGTTTTTGATGAACAGTTACGTACTTGATTCTCTAGGTCCGTTATATTCTTGAGACAGTTCGCCTTTTCTGAATATTTTGAGGGTAGGGTAGCCTGACACGGAGAACTTCTCGCAGGTGCTCTTTCCTCCTTCTGTACAGTCTACCTTGGCAAGCATCACCGGTGTTTCATCATTCTTGAGGATGCCGGCCGCTTGCGCGTATTCCGGTTTCAATCTCTTACAATGACCGCACCTAATTAGATTTAATTGTTTAGATTAATTTAAATAAGTTAATTGTATGTAACTCAAGTGATAAAAAGGGCTACTTATCCAACTAACTTACCAAGGTGCGTAAAACATGACGAGTGCAGTATCATGTTCAGATATAAGGGTAGAAAAGTCAGAGTCTGTTAGGTCTAATACATCTTCTTCAGCCGCTTTACACAAATAAATTAAACTTAACAGTACCACAAATTTAAATGAGTCTAACATTTTTACGGCAACTTATCCTGCGACTACAACCGTGCGATTAATCTCGCCTACAATGTGAAGCTGAGCGAAAGGACAAGGACCGGAAAAATACACGTATGATGCCTTTGATGACATTAGCCGGCACAGCGTTGGCCGATTCTGATTGGTTAATTTTGTCTGCGTTCATAAAATAT